CACTGGATGTGGCTCTTGACTCCCAGTGTGAGTTAGTCATGAGCTGGCTGGGTGAACACCCACCTGCTCTGCCTTTGGGCTCCAAACTCCTCTCACAGCTGCACCACCAGTTGGTCCTCATATCCCAGGTTGTGTCCAGGAGCCAGTCCCTTGGGAGAGCTGGTTCCTCCAGGCACAAAGGTACTGCTGCACCTGCCCTAAGCAAGTGGGGAGCAGGGCACAACTGATCATGGAATCATGGTGTGGTTTGGGTTGGAAGGGACCTCAAAGTTCATCTGGTTCCAATCCCTGCCATGGCAGGGACACCTTCCACTATCCCAGGTTGCTCCAAGCCTCCTTCAACCTGTCCTTGGACACTTCCAGGGATGGGGCAGCCACAGCTTCTCTGGGCAACCTGTGCCAGGGCCTCCCCACCCTCACAGGGAAGAAATTCTTCCCAATATCCAATTTAAACCCACTCTCTGTCAGTGTGAAGCCATTCCCCCTTGTCTTGCCTCTCCAGGACCTTGCAAATAGTCTCTCTTCACCGTCCTTGTGGGCTCCCTTCAGGTACTGAGACCTGCTGATCAGGTTCACACCATGACCCCTTCAAAGGAAAATTCGTGGAGATTCCTTCAGCCAGGCAAAGTCCTCATTCACATCCAGAAGGCCAAAAGTGATTAAATACAGGTGCAAATCACAGAGAATTTGGACAATGACCAGTCTTGTTCCCCTTCAGTGTCTGTCACTGCGTTTTGAGACCTGGGGAAGCCTGAAATTTTAATGACCAGCCCTAAACCCCAATTTTCCTGCCAGGACCCCTCTGGAACAGCCCAGCTGTGTCCTTGGGTTGCTGCTGCAGAGCTCACTTGGGTCTCACTCCAGGTCTGCCTCCAGGAGCTTTTTTGGACATTCAACTGACACTGCCTCTGGCAGCAGAGAAGAAAGTCTGGGAGGAAAGGAAGAGGGAGTAAACTTACCTCTCTCTTTCTTAATCACAGGATTCATCACCAAAAAAGGCAGGGGAAAAAAGTTTGGGCTGAGAAGTACCAAGATAACCCTCAGGGGAAAAACAGAGACCAAAGGGGCATTTTCTAACAAAAGGGTCTGATAAATGAAAGCAGCTCCCAGATGTGCCAAACCCACAGCACCCAGACATTGCCTTGCACCCGGAGTACTAAAAGTGGCACTTTTAAGAGCCAAGCTCAGCACACTGAAGGTTTGAATCTTGCTTTCAGTACTTGCAGAAACTCTCTTGTCTCAAGTTCAGAAGTTCCAGACACATCACCTCTGAACACCTTTTTACAGACAGTATGGGGTGGGGATGGCAGTGCTGGCTGAGATTGTCCACAAGGAGAGCCTGGAGAGGGTTCTCCAGGGAACCTGTGGCTGCCCCATCTCTGGAAGTGTCCAAGGCCAGGTTGGAGGAGGCTTGGAGCAACCTGGGATAGTGGAAGGTGTCCCTGCCCATGGCAGGGGGTGGAACGAGATGGGCTTTAAGGTCCCTTCCAATGCAAACCATTCTGGGATTTTATGAAAAACCCCCACCAAATTAAACCCAAACCTCCCTGCCCAGTCTGAGCTCTCCATGGCAAATGTTTGGAGTTAAATTTGCCTACTTTGTCCTTGATTTACCCCTTGCTCTGCTGGTCTCTGAGCAGCCCAAGGAAGGGAATCGAGGGAGGAAAATGCTGCTGTCACCAAAGAGGAGCTCGAGGCATCACAGACGAGGAATTTCAGGCTCAGAAATTGGGCAAGAAGAAGGAAAAGGGACAATAAATAAAGGCACATTAAATCCAATAAAAATAATTCAATAAAATCAGTGTTAAATTCTATTTCCCTAAGTCCCAAATGCCCAATCCTGGATTTTCAAGCAGAACTGCTGGTGAAGCATCACAGCAAGGGTTGCAGCAGCAGCCAGGAGCTGCCCCTCACTGCTCCAGCTGCCTGAGGGCACATAAAACACTCCAGATACCCTGGGGCATCAGAACAGAAATGAACAGGTCTGATACATGTCTGTGTTTTGGGGTTTTTAGAATTTTTTGACATCAAAACCTTTCCTGAACTCCCTCCCATGTAAAAAGCATGAGTGTGTCCTTACAGATCAGCCCAATTTTTTTACCATGTCGCACCTAGGTTAGTTTTTAAGGGAAGGTTTTAAGGTGCAGGGTGATCAGGTATGAGAAGGACATAACCACAGACCTCCTGTGTTACATCCAGTGCAGAAAACATCCCTCAAACCTGCTGTCAAACCACCTCCAGGTCAAGAATATGGCCAAAAAATGCCCAGGGGGGCTGGACAGAAGGCAAATGGAGAGCTGGTAAAATAACAGAACCAAAATAAGCCTCATTTTTATAATACTAGAGTGAAAAAATCCTGATCCTGTCTATGTTATAAGTTATCTGTATTACTTAAGTGCTGCAAACTGGTGGTTTAACACACCAAGTGCAGGGCACTGAAATTTTAAAACATCTCCAGCCCCAAGAAGGCTTTTAAAAGTGTAACTTTTGTATTAATAAAATAATTTCATCCCAAGTGGGGCAGTTACAGAGACAACTTTCAAGCAGTTGAAAGACTGAGCAGGAAACCAATTTCCATCCTCCTTTTGAAGTGGTATGAAAGGAGTGATGGAAAACAGCTGCCCAGGGGAGATCACAAGGAAATGCTCTTTTCTGTGTGGCAATATTGCCACAGAGTTCTTTGTCTTGAGATGTTACTGCTCCTCTGAAAATCAGGAAGGAGAAAATGAGAAAAAGCCAAAAGCTGAATTGTGGGAGGTCAATACAAAGAGAAAATTTCTGTGAAATCAAAGAACTTTCCACATTTGAGCCAAAAATGTGGTCTTGCTCCTCTTGTCTGTTTATGGATTCTGTAAAACACAAACCAGCAATGGGACAGGAACCAGTAAAACCAGTTAATCCTCAGGGGAACACACAACCCCATCTCCCCTGGAACAGCAGCCCCAGACAAACCAGCTGGGTGAGGACTTCACTGGGATGGATTTACCCAGCTGGGGGTGGGGAGAGTCCTCTTTGTCAAAAAAAACCATCGGAATGGGAACAGCAGGACACAAGGCCACATGGAGGAGCAGTAAAGGCATGGAAATGTGGTTCTGTACAGGACAAAGATGGAGAACAGTGCAGCATTTTTTCAACTGAAAATGGGACTTTTCATGCTTTCCTTGAAGAAATAAAGAAGAAAAAAGACAATCTCATGATGTATCCCTGTTAAAAGCACTGGGTCACCTGGCATTATTGAAAGGAATATGGACCAAGGTGCAAAATGCAGGTGGAAGCTGAGGAAGGGCACAGGAAAGGAGCTTGTACATTCTTAAGGACTTAGCAGAGAGCTTGAACTTCCCTAAGGAGATTAATAAAATCCATGTGAGACCCCAGGCAGAATCCCAGTTGTAAAATAGGAACAAGGTGTAAACCAGCAGCCTCTGTAGATCCCAAGGATCCCACTCTGATCCAGTTTGCTTCATGTTGCGTACTCAAGACTTTGTCTTCAGGTGTTGTTATCAAAGAATTGCTTCTGATCTGACTATCTTTCACCCTGCCTGGAGCAGACAGGTGGTTTAGCAGGAAACTAAATCCCATGGAATTGCCTGCACTGCAAGGTCCTGCTTGTACCTCTCCAGAGCTGAAACTATAATCAACTTCATAGAAAGTAAAAGAAACACAAGAGCAGAGGGTGGATGTTTTTGTGCACAAGACAGAAATCTCTTACTGGCTACAGATACAATTCAATGGAAATAGCATGGATTTCCACCTGAGGAACCAGCGCAGAAAGTGGTTCCACCTGAACAAAAGGGCAAAAGAACAGCACAGAGGGAAGGAAGGTGGTTTTGAAGATGCAAATTAAGATTATATGTGCAAACAAAGCACAGTTGTAAAGGTCTTTATGGCAAAATGTTAACGAACTAACAGAGATTTATGGTGCCTTATCCTCCTAAGAGAGACAAAACAGTTCAGCAAAGCAGGCTGGGCAGTTGTGGAGGGAGGTGTATTTTGTGATAAGCCCCAAACAATGTCCCTGTTGAGTGTCAGCACCGAGCTGGAAGAAAATAAAACCTCTGACAAAGCAAGAAATTCTGCAAAGACAGCACTGGCTCCCAGGGCTGAGACAGGAATTACAGAGACCCAGGAGCACACACAGACACACACACTGTGCAGAGACAGGATTCCCTGGAGATTTGATCCCCATTTAGCAAAAAAGGATTGTACTGTTTCCTAAGAAACATTTATTTCCACAAAACTAGCACCAAAAAAAACGCTTGTCTGTGAGGATTAACTAATCAGATGGGTTTGGAACAAACTACATCTCTGGGTTTGAGACGATTTTATGTGTGTGGGAAGCAAACAAGCAAAACCACCAGAAAATTTACTTTACCTTCCCATTTTTATCCTCTTTTCCAGGTGCTGGTTGACAGATATGTGCCAGTGTCAGCTGAGAGCTCCAATACCTCTGTTCCTCATGTGGTCCCTGCAGCCCTGCCCGACCCTGGGTGACCCAGGGGCTCCAAGTTATTCCATACCCAGAGCTGGACAAAGGGAAACATGCAGGGGCAGTTTGTGGAAGGATTAAAATGATCAGGAGTGGTTTACACATATTCTCTACACACAGGTAATTGTCTATTAGCAAAAGGCCATGACCAGCCAGAATCAGGAAGATTTCTGAGTGCAACAGTACCAAAATCTTCATTCTCTGTAGACTTCCCTGCAATCCCAAAGGCAGAGGCCACAGTGACTGTAAAAGTCGGAAAGACCTTGAGTCGTGTTGGGTTCCATTAGTATGAAATCAAGCCCAAACTGTGACAGAAATACAAAATCTCCCAAATAAAGTGCAAAACCACAGCAAAACACAAGCTGGAAATGCCCCCCAAGCGCAGCAGAGAACAAGAACGGTTTGTAAAGCCCTTCTGCCGGCTCTGGAACGCTCAGGGTGGGACTGCTGGGCTTTCTCCCTAATTCTGTTGTGAGTCCACAGCACTTCCCCAAGGAAAAGGAGCAGCACTCACCCTTTGCCAGCTGCACGAAGCCGAGGATGATGATGAGGGCCAGCGCCAGCAGCTTCGCCGCAGCAAAGGCGTCCTGGACACGGGTGGCAGCTTTGACACTGTAGCAGTTCACGGCTGTGAGCAGCACTGGGGACACACAGGGACACACATCAGCACCAGGGAAACACTTAACATGCAAGACAAATTATGACAAATTTCTAGATTGGATATACAGAAGGAACTCTTGGCTGTGAGGGTGGTGAGGCCCTGGCACAGGTTGCCCAGAGAGGCTGTGGCTGCCCCATCCCTGGAAGTGTTCCAGGCCTGGTTGAAGAAACCTGGTCTAGTGGAAGGGGTCCCTGCCCATGGCATGGGTTACAAGAATCTGATCTATAAGGTCTCTTCTAAGCCAAACCATCCAGTGATTCTGTGATTTGCTTTTTGCTAAAACTTAACCAACCAGAGAGTCTCTTCCTAAAAAAGAAACTAGTCCAGAGCCAGGCTCACACTTTACAATTCTATACCTCATTTTGTCAATAGGTGATCTGAATAATGTACATAGTCCTTGTGACAAGGAACAGCCCTGAATTGAAGAATACACTTCTGAGGGCATATAAATAAGAGGACCCATCAGGTTCAAAATGCCCAGCCCCAACCCTGTTCAGTCCATCCAATTTAATGTTGCTGTTGCATGAAAACACTGTAGAAATGTCAGGACAGGCTTCCAGGACTGATTTATAGTTATTTTATACCAATAGCACCCTAAAGCTATCGAGGCCAGACCATGCTGCCCCTGCCTGGATGTGAAGGAGGAGCTGTCCCCGCCCTGACACTCTGGGATACAACACAAACAACACCTGCAGGTCAGTGGGGCAGGTGGGAAGAGAAGCTGGATCTGTGGAAATCCTCATCCTCTGCTCGACCAGCAGTGGCAGGGATGGCTATGCAGGGTTTGGAGATGCTCCCCAGGGCCACACACTGTGGGCATGGGAGAGAGGATTGCCCAGGACTGTGCTCATAACCATCAGCATTTTGCTTGCCAAGAAGCTCCCATTTCCTACAAGTTGCCCTATGGTTAACAGAATCAATCAAGACTAATTTCCAACCTTTTTTTTTCCTTATTCCCCCTCCAACCCTGTATTCTGCCCCTGTATCTGTATCCTGCTCCTGGCACTGTGACCCTCCCACCAGGCAAGGCACAGCCAGAGCCAAGGCTTGTCCAAAGCCACAAAGCTGCTCCTGGCTGAGCTTCACCTGCCTCGGAGAAAATAATGGCTTAAACCTGCTGCTATTCCAAATCACTTACTATTTTGGTGCCCTGCTCCCTGCCCAGAGCCTGCTGCTTGTTATAGAGACAGGAAAATGTCACCCCAAAGGTGATGTTATGGATGCCCTCCCCTCCTGCTGCCTCCCTTGTGCACAGTCACCCCTCGCTGTCCCCTCGCCAGCCCCTGGCCCTGCTGGTCCCCAGCAGCTCAGGCAGGAGCAGATCTCAACTCTTCTTCTGGAGCTGGAGGCTTTTCCTTGTGAGATCTTTTCCCTGCTGGCCTCCAGCCTTGGGCAAAGGCTCTTTCCCACACCCTGCAACTCATTTTCCCAGGACCCCACTGCCTTGAACAGACCAAAGAGCTGCACCCCAAAACATCAGGATCCCCCTCTACTGAAGTTATGGGCTGGATCTGCACTCACAGTTTAGAGCCCAGAGCATCTGATCACAGAATCACAGGGTGGCTGGGGCTTCTGTGGAGCCTCCTGCCCTGCAGGTGTGGAGAGAGGATCAATTTGGAAATTAGGAGAATCCACCCTAAACTGGATTATCCTAGACTGGTCTGGGTCAAAAGGGACCTTAATGCTCCTTCCAACCCCCTGCCAGGGCAGGGACACCTTCCACTATCCCAGGTTGCTCCAAGCCCCGTCCAACCTGGCCCTGGACACTTCCAGGGATGGGGCAGCCACAGCTTCTCTGTGCCACTGTCCCAGAACATCATGTCTTTCAGAGTCATTGGCTCCTTCCCACCCCCAATATTCCTTACAAGAGCATTCAGTACAAGAGCCATTTCAACACGAGCATTCAAAGTCTGGAGAAGTGAAAGAGCTGGATGTCTTCACAAAGCAAACCCCCATGATCCACTACATCCTACGAGTGAGAAGTAAACAAGGAATTTGAGACTGACTTTGTTTTGTATCATGCCCTTCAAGCCCTTTGGGGAGTGTGGGTGAGACCGAAAGGTCCCAGAGCTGTTTTTGGGGAGGGACCAGCTGGGCTCTGGCTGAGCTGCTCTGGCTCATGGCCAAGGGGGCAGGAGGAGGATCTGTGTCCAGACCTGCCATACCTCTGTCCCCATCCCTGTCCCAGGCTGCCTCCACCCCACACTGCTCCTGAGAGATATGGAGTAGCTACAAAGTCACCCCTTGCCCAGGTTTGGCAGCTTTTCAGCACCCAGAGCAGCCCAGCACTATCTGTGGGCTGCAGGGTCACAGCTCCTCACCACCAGAGAGATTGGGACACATCTGCCTCCAGCAGGGATGTTGTCAGATAACAGGGAAGGAGAAAATAAAGGTTAGGCAAGTCAACTTATGTCTGTGCCATGGAGGGAGAGAAGAAAGCACAGCACAGCTCATGGTTCTCCTACTAAAAGCACCTCCAGTGAATCCTAACAGGGAGGGAGCCAGGGATCCAGGATTCCCTTCAACCAGCGATTATGCTAAAAATAAATCTCCCCTTGTTTACAGAGGGATATTTAAAGGATGAGCTCAGGCAGCTAAAAGCTTCTCCTGTGGGTGAGGACAGCCCTGAGAGGTGTGAGTGACATTCCCTTCCCATTTAGGCATTCTGTGTCCAGGACAATGGATGCTTTGGCCTCCACTGAAATACTGATTTTTGGGGCTGTTTTTCACGTTTTGGTTTTGTACAGACTCCCCTGGACAGACTGTGGGAGAGTGGTGGTGAAAATAAAAGGCAAAAGCGTCCTGCACAATCCAAGTGTCTGTATCCAGCCCTAAAACCCCACCGGTGCCAGATAAACAGGCTCCCTGAAAATAAGAAAACATTTGGGGTTAGAGACTGAAGAAGGCTGAGAACTGCCACTGCCCTGAGTCAGAGCCCTGCCAGTCACAGCCCCCCTGCTTTGCTTTGCTTTTCCCACTATGCAATAATGATAATATTTGTCTTTCCTAAAGGAGCGTGGGGGAGTTACTCCACTTAAATGCTTTCAACACATAGGAAGGGCTGAAATAAACCTCAGTCTCTCCCATCAGGAAGAATCCCACAGAAAAAAACAAACAAACAAACAACAAACCAGGATAAGAACTTTTTCAGTAAAAACTCCAGGATGAATTCCAGTGGCTGCTCAGCTTCTGAGGAGAGCAGAGGGCTGGGATTTCTTAAAGCAGCAAGTTTGATTCCTTTGATCTGAGATGCTGCCCTGCCACACAGGGGCTCCTCCTGGCACCGTTCCCTCACCTTGGATGAACTGCTCCCAGGAAAACATGGGAAAGCTGCACAGCAACGGCTTTAAATCAGGGCAGTGATACAGCACAGGCAGAGATCAGCCTGCACTGCCCTAATTCCGGCAGCATCTCCCCTACAGCTCCAGCTACCAGCCCCTGGCAGGCGCCAGCCAGGCAGACCTTTGGAGTGCCCCACTCAGGCCAGGAATCATTCTAGGAATAAGGATTTCAGCATGACCTGACATGACACAGCTTGGCTGATCCACCAGCCCCTCTCCAAAGGCTTTACATAATTGGGATAATAAGAGCTAGAAAGCTGCAGGGATGGCAGATGTAGCGGGGGGGGCTGAATCTCAGGATGGTTTGGGTTCGGAGGGACCTTAAAGATCCAGTTCCACCCCCTGCCACTGGCAGGGACACCTTCCACTATCCTAGGTTGCTCCAAGCCCTGTCCAACCTGGCCTTGGACACTTCCAGGGATGGGGCAGCCACAGCTTCTCTGGGCAACCTGTGCCAGGGCCACACCACCCTCATTGTAACAAATTTCTTCCTTATGTCCCATCTAAATCCCATTCTTTATTTAGAGATCACTCTGGCACAAGTGGGAGAGATCCTGTTGTTTCACTGCTGTAGAACGTGCTCACCAGGTGCTCTTCACTCCTTCACCTGCTCCAGCCTTCATTCCTTATCTTCATTCCAAGGTAACTCAAGCTACAGGGGAAGCCAGAAGCTTTCGAAGAGAAATTTGGCTTTTTAAAGACAACAGCAGGTCTGGCTTCAATATTTACTCTGTCCTAGCGGACCCTAGCAGGTCCTTCAGGCACGTCACTGAACCTGCTCCACTGGCCCTCACCTGCACAGCCAGGTAATTCCCATTACTGATAGGAACAAGGACAAACTGACTAATCCAACACTAGGCCCAGGACTTTACCCCCCCCCCCCTTCACATTTTACAGCTGTATTCCTTTGAACTGGCATTCCAAGATCCCTCCCAAAAACACAATTCCTTGATGACAACAGGAATAAATGCCTACAAAGCAGACACAGCAAGGGATTGTGACAATCCTATCTAGAACAAGTCCATGACAAACACACTGCATGGAACAACAGCTCCTGTGGCGTTCTGCCCAAAGCAAACAGCGGGAATGGAGCCCTGACACAGGTAAATCCGGGCCTGGCACTTATGATGCAACAGTCTTGGCAATATTCCTACAGGAAAAGGCAGGGCTGCAGCTTTTCCTGGATGATGGAGTGTGGACATGGACTGGGCATAAAGACAGTGCTCAGGGAGGCTTTGTCGGGGAAAAAAAAATCAAACAGACAAGCAGCTGAGCCACAACCCTGCATCATCCTCACTCACAGGGAAAAGGATTCAACTCCATGCCCTGGTGGTGCAACAGGAGCTCAGGCCAAGATCTTCAGCAGCTTTTCAGGTGAAAAATCTCTAGAATGAGTGTAGGAATCCCTGAGGTATCAGAATTTGTGCTGCCTGTGGGGTTACACCCCTTGGGAGCCCTGCACATGTCACCTGGGTCCTTTATGTCACCTCCTACAGGTTTCCCTGCTCCTGACCTGTAGTACTGCCATGTATTCCCAAGTACACCTCTTGGTGTACTTGGATAAATGCGTGGAAGGAGCTGCTTTAAAGGAGTAAACTCATTAATTTGCTGCAAGTTGCCCACAGATTCCTGTTTGTG